CTCCGCATTAATTGGCGGTCCGAATTCAAACGGACCAATGAAATATGCCTAGGTGCCGAGTCCTATACCGGAATGTTTAGATGCATCCGGATAATGGCCTCCACCTTTTCAGAATCTACCAACAATCCATTCGAATTGACCACATAGCCCAAGTATTTCAACTAGGACTAACAGACTTGGCATTTTTCGGAGTTCAGCGTTAAACCAGCTCGCCTAATACGTTCGATAACCTCTTGTAATATCTCGATGTGCTTATCGAATGTTGGATTACAGACAATGACATCGTCGAGATATACAAAGACGTAGGGGTCAATATCGACACCAACGACCCTGTCAATTATCCTTTGCCATACTGCTTGGGCGTTAGTCAGCCCAAAAGGCATTCTTTTGAAATGAAATAAACCTTGTGAAGGTACAGTAAATGCAGTGAGAGGTCGAGAGTGTTTGGCGATGGGAATTTGCCAGTAGGCTGACTTGATGTCAAGGGTGGTTAGGAAACGGGCATCACGGAGTTTATCCAAGATGGAGCTGACGTAGGGAAGGGGGTAAGAGTCTGGAGTAGTGACCTTATTTAGAGACCTATAGTCAACACAAAATCTCCAATTTCCTGACTTTTTACGGATCATCACTATTGGAGACGACCAGGGAGAGTCTGATGGTTCGATAATTTCATCAGCTAACATTTGATCAAGCTCCGTATTAACTACCTTCTGTAGAGCCGGGGATAAGGGGTAATAGCGCTGCTTGAAAGGTGGGTATTCGGTCTTGATGATAAGTTCCACCAGCTCAGTACAGCCAAGTTTTGTACCCATAATCGCATGAATATTTGCTACCAGCTTGTCCAGGATTACTCGCTGTTCGGGGGACAGTGACTCTTTGTATTGGATGGCGCTGACCTTAGGAAGCTCACTAGCATTAGATCGAAATGACCAATCGGATGAATAGAGGTCAGGGACAATTTGCATCCTCGACCAAAAATCCACGCCCAGAATAAGGCTATGAGGAAGAGAAGGAATGATCAGGACCTCGGGCAAAACCAATCTGTCACGCAAGGAAATAGGGAGCTCGGAGGATCCAATTCCTTGACAGCTTTCGCCGTTGGCGATAATACACTCGGACTGAGCCTGCGATTTGACGCGACATAAGGATCGAAGAATGTCGCAACTCTTGGATCCGATAATGGTGCGAGTGGAACCACTGTCCAATAATGCTAGAAAGGGCTTTCCGTATATAACCACTTCCAAGTGAGGTCGCAGGCGTGCGATAAAACGTAGTCCAAGATGACGCGATGCTTGCCGGCCCCAGGATTTGGTGAGCCGCAGGATGGCCTAGCTTATCCTTCCTGATGGGCCGTTTTTTGAACACCTCGGGCAATCTCTAGAGATGACATCTTGATGACCACACTTAAAGCAAAACGTTTGCCGAGGTTTTGAACACTGGCGAAAGTTATGACCAATTCCACGACAGTTCCAACAAGTGAGCGAAGAGGTTTGAATGGCTGCCAAATCGAAATGTTCATTGTCGAGAACATCAGGTTGGACGGGGTGTGAGGATTCTGTCGGTCCATCAATGAGAGCGACACGAGTTGAGGGTCTATGGTACGCGAGAGCAGGTTCCAAAAGGGTGCCGTAAATCGTCGGAGGCGGGGCAAATCGCTGGACACGAGCTTCGGTTTCCTCAATGGCTCGACTTAGACGCAGGATATCTTGAAGTGTCTCCACCCGTTCAGTTGACAAACGTCGCTGAATGCTTGGAAGAAGATTTCGACGAATTACTTGGAGCCAAGTACTCTCCGGAGGTGGAGTGGGTAATTTGCGAAAGAGCGCCTCCATAGCTACAACAAAACCAATCACATGCTCCTGTGCACCTTGGGTGCGTCGTTCTGGAGAGGAACGTAGAATATGTTCTTTTGATACGTTTCGTGACACACGAAGCTCTTCGATGCGCTCAAGGAAATAAGTCACACTGACCGTTAAACTGGATACCCCAAGAAGATACATCCTGACGTTTGTTGTAGGGGGGAGACAGAAATGAACGACTCAAATCTCTGTCACGAAGAGGGGAATACTGGAAATTGTCCAATCTATCACCAAGATCAACATATGGATTGGGGCGACTCAAAGTTTCATTGGGGCAGGTGAGACTTGTTGGGAGAAGTCAGGATATTCATCCTCGAACTGAACCTGAGACTGTCTTCTTGATATTGACGGAAGAACATTCGCCTGATCTGATGGTTTGGTAAATGAATCGTGTCTGAACTGAGGATTGATGGGAAAAGATTGAGGCATCGACAATGGAGATGGCTGAACATATGAGGATGACCGAATCTGATGCAATGGTTGCTCAGCCAGAAACTGTCGGTATGGCGCAAGGTTATTGATCTGGTCCGCTTGCCGAGATCTGACCGAAAATTTCGGAGGAAGATTTGTTCTGGCAGGTCCGAAATTGGAGCTCGAGCCAAACGATGCTTCTCGAGACGGTAGCCATTGGGATGGCTCTTCAGGATCGTGATTATAGGATGGTTAGTATCATTCGACCCTTCGTCAGAAGGATAGGGTCGCCTAAATCCCACCGATGTGCGATCAAAATCAAAATGACGGGGTGCCGCCGGAATGATTCGACGAGGTGGGGGTCGATCAAAAGAATTCCGTTGAAATACCGAATTTGAGACTGGAACATTCCCAGCCGCTGCAGAAGTTACCTATTATGATTGTCCTCGTCACTAAGGGCTATTAGGTCATGAGACACAGCGAGATTCTGTGATACACGGTTTGTCACGGAACAGGAAATAATGGGCCGTCTGATTGGCCTGGCACAGGATTATCGGTGTCCAAAAGACTCTGATTGGCTTGGGTGAACGGCTGATCCTGAGCGCCTGCTTGAGCTCGAATATTGGACACGGTTGAATTGTGAGCCATTACTAGGCGGTTGAATAGTTCTGTACAGCGTCCTATGAATTCTTGTTGGGTTTCACGCTCAGTGCGTAATATGCACGAGATTCGTTTGAGACGTGCTTCCGTGTGAGTGAGGAGAGTACATATGCCTCGCCATCTCCATTTTCTGTGTCAAAATTCGAAATATCTCGAGCAAGGGTTGCAAGTTTACCTTGGCATATGCACAGTTCGCTATCACTATCGAAGCAAGATGTGCCCGGAGCGAGAATCTCACCATCGCGTTCGCGAAGCAAGGCATCGCGCAGTGCAGATCGCTTTTGGGCAAATGAACCTGTGGTTGACACACCACGAATGGCTAGCTCGTATTTAATTTCCTGAGCACCTAACAAATTGATCTCCATTCTGTTCCATTTCAATTCTGTCCAACTCGAGAGAATAATAATGAAACTAGAGTGGAAGGAAAGAGAGAAATAGTCAACAAAAAAAAAATAAAATAAAGGTTTTAGATCAGCAAAAACGCTTAGAGGAAGCTCTCTCAACGTGCTCTTGAAAGCTGCCCTCTTTTCTACAAAAAAAAAAACTATTTTTATTCCTTTCTCTTCCAGAAAAAAAACCTTGAGGGATTTCTACAGAATCTATTGGGGGACACAGGTACTGCTACTGACTGAATGCCTGGTACCCACCAAATACTGTAATGGTACAAAGGAAGGTAGTGCGGAAATCTGTAATAGAACCATCGGTACTATAAAGCAAGTGTAGAAAACTGTAATAATATATAATATGAAATGTTTGAATAAATAACCCCAATTATTGTTAGATGGTACTGGAAAATAGCGAAATGAAAACTGTATAGGTGAAATGACAATTTAGTAATAAATTTCTAAATGGAGGTACTTTTACTTGAGAGGGAAAAATAATCCCGTAATAACACATACTTATAGTTAAATTTGATATTGCATTCACAAATTGACTTTAAATATAGCTGAAACGTAAAACGCACTTTTGTTCATTTCATGCCAAGCACGTTCCTGGAGCCCACATCAGCAGCGGCGAAGGCTACGTGACAAGACAAAAAGGCGGTTTAATATCAATATCGGAGACGCTTTATTTTTTCCGAGGCGTCCTTTCATACACTCCCTTTAAATTTTTTATCGGGCTTTCAAATTTTGCCGACCCTTTTCTCGAGAGTTTAATTCAGAGTTTGTTAACGAAGTCTGCTGCAGGGACGATAAATATGATTCATGTTTATTACAGTATGGATATAAAATTTACGTAAGCTTTGTGTATTTATAATTTTTATCTTCACTTGTCAACAACATTCCAAAATTCCAAAACCAAGTGACAGTCGGAACTTTTGAAGATGTTATATGGAAATGTTACATCCTGACTAGTAAAGTAATGTGCCGCGCCATTTCATGGACTGAAATCGATGACGTAACACAGTATATGCCGGACAGTAAGAAATGCATTAAATTGCTGTCATGAATCTTGTTAGCCAACGTAAATGTTAACAAATATGAACCTAGAAAGCTAATAGCGTATTTAATATAAGGTTGTATTCAACACTTGCGTGCACACTAAGTTGTTAAATTATTTGCTATTGGAACACATAGCAATTATAACCTGCGATATAGCTACTAATATTATATCCCATCATTTGCTCATAATTCATATGGCTACGATTGCCTATTTAAAATAGGTACAATATATTTTTTTTCAAATTCGATTGAAAATAAACGTTATTAGGCCGCCAATTTAATAAAATAAATCGATATAAAATTGATAAAAATTTCGAATTTATTCCACTCCCCACGCAGTATGGTGAGTTCCATCCCACGTTGATAAAACCCCCTGACAGAACGTAGGTATATATGCAACGCGAAACACATTTGCAATTTGCAGTGCTCCTGTATTAAATTTGATTTGCCCCCAATATGGATATTTTATCCATTTCCTCTCCTCGTGCTACTTTTGCATTCATATATACGAAACTCACAAATAGAACCTAATGTATTTCCTGTTCGGATGGACGAAATAAAATCGGATCGACAAGAAAATAAAAAAACAAATCGAGTTGACGTGGGCTCAAAATAAATACGAACTCACCTTTCCATCACTTTTTCGGTACGCTTCGTAAATCTTCCATACAAGTTCAGGACCGGCGTTGGCCACTTGTTTACCGACTTCGTAATGGTTGGTGATAGGGTTGGTGTCCAGGGGCGGTCTCAAGTCTCTGTCACCGCCACCGCTGCCGCTCCGCAATTTCGAAAACATATTCGAAGACGGCACGCGGGGCTGTGACGATGCCGAAGGTGGATTACATATTTGCGCACCCCCAGGGGGCGTCCCAAAAAAGGACGCCCTGTCTAGTAGACGAAACGTTGTCGCTGCGTTACGGCACAGGTTGAATTAAACTGTACAGGCGTGGGAAGGAGCATATTGAACAAGATGCATTCTGAAAAAAAAAAAAAATATTGACGTTAGTTTATGGATGTGCAAATTATCATCAATTAAAGCCAATAGAAGGCTGATTGAGAATTGATTCGCTAGAAAATCGCTTTAGAATACTTCAGCTGGCTTCTAAAGCATTGGACAGTGAATTTGGAAGACTTCCTCAACGGGCTCACAGGACCATGAATAGATAGAAGCTTATTCTCTTAAATATTACATACTCTGTTCTGGGTAAAGAATTATAATTCACAAAGTTGATATTTTCAATGATTATTTAACGGTTTCAATAATTATGAAATGATTATTTTTGTTCTATTTTTAAAAATGACCCTTTCTGCTTATTTAGTGTTAATCAATTCAATTGGATTTGCTCCCTAGCCGCTCAGGATACAAATTAAGTCGGAAGCAAAAAGTCCTAAAAAGGGGGTGTGAACCTAAAAAACGACTTGAGCTACTTAAATCAAGAAAAAAATTCTAAGATCTCTCATGAAAACCGCAGTCCTATATTCAAAATAGTCTCCGAGAAAATTCCTTTTGAAGAAAAATTATGCAGGAACTTGTGATATCCCAACCGCCGAAATCGCAGTCTTCTGTTCGTTCAGTCATCAGTGAACCGTACCCTATACTTTCAGTGGTTGCAATTCGCTCTAGGAGATATTTGTCTTTTGTTTTGGAAAGTCTATTATTTTTTCGTGTTGTTACAGACGCCAGGCCAAACGAGAAAAGAATAGGGAAACCAGTGTGAGATAATACAAATTATCCAATTATATAATTATGTATACAGGGTGAATCCGAAAGTGAGGCTTTTTTTTTAACGGGATATATATCTCCCCAAAATAAGTTGTTTGGCAAAAAATTGTTTATACAAAAAATTTAAGATAACGGAGCTACAGGAATTTTAAGGTCTTAAGAAGACTCCAGAGTCCTTATTTTCAAAACATGGGAGCAGCGTTCTTATGAAAACGAAGGTCCTTTCTTCGTCGCCCTACTTGCCCATACTCATGTTTGCAAAACATTGACAAAGACCAGATCAATCGTTCTCATGAGAACGCTGTTTCCCAGTTTCGAGAATAGGCATCCAATTATAAAACATTTTGTGTCCATTTTCTCTGAAAAAAAGCAGTTATTTGTCCAGCATAATAAGTTTTTTTCCATAATAGGTAATCTACAGTTGCATTATTTTATCAGAAAAATGAATCAGAAACTCCTTTCTCCATTATCAACCTAATAATTTTCATATTTTTAAATACCTGTACCTCCGTTATCTTAAAATTTTTATGTAAAAAAATTTTTGCCTAACAACTTATTTTAGTGAGATAAGTACCCTGTTAAAAAAAAAAGCCTCACTTTCAGATTCACCCTGTATACACTTTGATGCAAAATTATTACATAATTTTAAGGGATACGATCTATTTAAAATATTCCTACCAGCAAGTGAACGAGATTAAAATATCAGTCCAGTCTAAAGGGCACGGGCCACTGTATTGAACAACTAGGAAAGATTATACGAAAATTAAAAAGTGTGTGTAAACGTACGTGCCTATATCAAAGAATTCGGATGAAAAATCACTCCATCAAAATCTCATTGACGGTTTAATGTCCAGCACAATGCTGTCATTCCCAGAGGGGAAATTGTTCGCTTGAAAAATGGCTTTAATCGCTTGAGATACTATCATTTTTTTTTTGTTCCGTTAGAATGGAGCATTTAAAGGGGAAAAATATCACCTTTCGTCACAAGCACTGAATTTTGATGCAAAAGAAAAACATTAAATTTGATTCCATAGTAATTACTAAACAAAAGATGGAAATTCTGAAGAATTTTCATTTTATATTTATCCTTCAGTTGGAGAGATTGTACGAAACCTGTCAAGAAAAGCTGATTAAATGACAAAGTTCTTCCAGTGGATGAGCCGCAGTAGCAATAAATTGATGGCGCTTCCGGAAATCATATACAAGGTACAGTTGTTACTCTTCCTTTCCCATTTCCCATGAAATAATTTTTGTGAAATACTGTTTGTTATTTTAGTCCTGAATGAAGACAATTTCGTCAAGAGAAACTTCCTGCAGGGAACAGGGGTGAAAACACGATACAATTTCCGCCAAGGCGATTTTAACGTAAACCTAAACGTTGTCTGAATACCCTCCCTTGCCTATCGGCACACTTTCAACACTTCCCACAAATATAGAAGAGACAATACACCCTCTCCAAAAACGTAGCCCTATCTTGCGTTTACCTGATTAAAACTTTCGTTTGCCGGTAAGGAACAGTAACAACTTTTATAAAGCGTCGAGAATTTTTCATCGTTAAATTTCTTTTGTCTCCTCGAGGGTCTTCGGGCACCTTCAATATATTTTCCTGCCAGCGTGCCTCAAGTAATGAAGTAATTTCGGGGCCCTTGGAATGGTCTAGTTTTAGAATTATTTATGGCTACTTGCAAGAAATGGTTTAGTAGGAAATTTTCGACGAAGATAAGGGTTCAGAACCATCAAAGCCCGACCTAATTTTGCCTCATATTGTTTAACATTACATCAACCCATTTTGTAAGTGTATTTACTTTAGCAAATACACTACAACTGTTGCATAAGGGAAAGAAAAACAAAGCTACCAGAAAAAGCGAGTGAAAGAGTTATACTTGCTTATTGTTAGTTAATTTCAATTTAGAAAACAAAGAGAAAAAACATTTTGTTGTTTGTTTTGCAACAAGCAGCAATAATAAAAATAATAAAACGCGATTAGGTAAAATGAAACTAAATTGAAGTAGTCTACCTCAATGAAAATATTATTCAAGCAGGGCAAGTTTTTCAAATAAATTATTCAGCTTTCCTAATAGCGGTAATATAAGTTACAAACCTCAATTTATTTCTCTACTGTAGCTAAATAAACAGAGCAGGTATTGAATCATTTTTGTACTGATTTTTTTTGAAATAATAAATTAAAATTATCTTTTGTCCTTTGATTTGACATTCAAACCTCTCTGAGCAAGGAAATTTTGGATTAAGGAAAAAGAATTGATGAAATAAAAAATCTAAAAATTGATGTAGATTCCAAAATTCATCAAAAAGTTGAAAAAATTAAAAAAGATATTCAGTTATTAGAGAATATGTCGAAAAGCTGTGGATGCATGGGGAAAGTTACCAATAAGTTACAAAAACAACTTTCTTCCCCAGTTTTTTTTCGATGGTCCACCAGACTAAGTAATTATAGTACAAAAAAGTATATTCCTTTAGCAGCTGACCTGCATTCAGTGGCACGGGTAACCGCTTAAGTACAAAATTTTATTAATTCGAAATTATTCGGTTTGAATTGTTGTAAATAATGTTTAAAATTATTTTTTTCAAATTTTCTTGAAAGATCTTTCAAATATGTTTACAGCCAGATAGAGAAGCAAAAGAAAAAAGAGAATCTGGGATAGAGGCCTACTGCAATTTCGCATTTTTTTTTTAGATCAACTTAACCTTCTTCGTGAGAGATTAAAAACAGATCCATAATTTACAAACTTGTATTAAAACCAACCGTTTTCACTGCACAAGTTTGTGAAGTGCTTAAACGGTATAACTGATCAGATAGTGAATTGACCTTGGAAATATCTTTGCCATAATAAGAAGCAATGAACTACAACAAAGTAGCAGATAATTTCACATTTTTACAGACAGAAAACCACTTATTTATGGAATAAAATTAAAAGCCAACGTATATAAAAGAGCCAATATTTCTGAGATATTATTCAATCGCAAATATTGTTCCTAGATGACTCAAAACATGTTGCCAAGTAGCAAAAATCAAGTAAGTCTGTTTAATATAGCACATCAATTTGTTTCGTATAATGTTTTTTTTTTTTTCAAAAAAGCAAGTGCTGTAGCATTTTCAATTTCTTGGCTAATATGCTACTTTGTTTTGCTCTAGTGGATATGATTCTATATAGAACTGAAAGAAGTAAATGAATAAACAACTATCTTTTCTGTGCCCAGATTTTGTTACCTTGAGTACTGCCTTCTACTGAAAGTTTTTTGGTTCAGGTTTGCGATTGTGGTTAATTGATCTAGGAAGGTTTGATTCAGTACGGCAGGGCCCGCTGTTATTGATTAGAATCTTAGGAAAAGGAGGTAGTACCATCATCATAATCTGAGGTTATGATAATAATTGTTGTTTACTTTCTTGATTTTTCATTTCCATCATGTCATTGAACAGCTGTTTTGTCAAGGCGTTTTCTTTAGACCTGTTCTACTTTTTGATATATGTTCTATAGGCATTTTTCAACATTCACCAGTCATTTTTATACAACCCACTTTTCGGTTTGTATTTTTGGGATTAAACTGAAGACGCTCTTTTCTATAATTTTTCATCAATGTCAAAATTAGAAGTTTGACAAATGGAAAGCCTTCTTCCGAAATCTAAATGAAGAATTAGCCTTTTTGATCTTGAGACCTCATACCAGAAGGTTGGTCTCGGCCCTAATTGATTTTGGGCGAGACTTTTTGAAATTTTGTGCCAGGGAACTCAAGGTTTAGACTAATTTCTTGTTGATAATTGTCTTGAGTCGTCCCTTGGTCATTTTGGATTTTGTTTCCGTAAGTTTTGAGATTTTCTTCAGGAAATATTAACCTACAACACGTGTTCCATTTTTTCAATAGGACTGTTCCGAGCGGCTTTTGGAAGTTTAAGACTTCACCTTTGGTCTAGAGTATCCCTAAATTTGAGGTAAGATTATTTCTAATATTTGGGGCTCGATTTGTTTTTTTATACGAACATCGTTATAGGGTCCTAGTGCTAGGTTATACTTAGAATACTCTAGGATATATCTAGACAGCTCCTATAGGATGTAATTAACGAGATTCTAGACTAGATCTAGATTGCTCTTAGTTGGGCTTTGGTAGCCTCCCTTCAGCAACCCTCTTGGTACCACTCTGATTGAACCACGTTGAGTTCTACGTCTACGACAGATAAAACGTGGATAGGACTCATGACTCACTTACCATACCATTGTCTATCTACAGTGAGACCAAACATGTAGATAACCTCACTTTTGGAACTTCTGGATTTACACATACATTTGAAGATAACAAACACTTGTATCACATGTAAGTTACACCTTTTACTATTTAGGCAAATCCTATGTAAATCACTTGATACTGAATTAGGTTCGGTAAGTGCCCCTTAAATAAAATTCTAGAATTTTACCCTGAGGTTGCCCTAACAATAACTTTCACCTTTCTGTGTTTAATTTGCCTGTTGGTAAAGTGTAACCCATACTGTATTTTTCTTATCACTCACAAGTGTAAATACCAAAAAGTTTTAGTCATGTTTACATTAAATCCATATTTATATATGCGTTATTTACATTCATTTTTTATAATCAAATATTTATAAATTGGTACAAGCCATAATGTATACACATTTTTAACAACGTCCTGGCTACCCCTATATATTATTGTTATTATTTTTTTTAATAAAGGAAGCCAGATACATTATTGTACCTAATTAGTTGTTTTATTGATAAGCTCTCCAATTGCACAGGTTTTGTTTATAACATCATTAAGTTATCTTCCTAGTTAAGTCACAATTAACTTGGTGGCTCCCAAAGGTAAGATGTATACAAGGGACCCATAGACCCATGACCTCCGAGCTGATGCTGATTATCCGTATGCAGTATAATCAGGCAATTGCCAATTAAGTACGTTATAGTGCCCCAAACGTCGGTTAATAAATTTCAAGGGGTTGAAAGATCCCTGGAACCCCCGGTAAGTATATTTAAGCATCACATCATGTTTGTTATAATTTTTTTTAAACCTAGAGAGAAGAAAATCTGTTAGTATTAATCGGCGAGTGGCGACAATCGTTGGGTGAGGTACTCTGATTGGAAAAGGCATCTGAAGGAGAAAGCGGGGGACGCAAAAGTAAAATAATAAAATTAAGTATTCACAACATTTAACTGATAATTTATAGAAAAACCCCAGGAAAGCATAAATCAGGCGGAACAGAGCAGTCCTTTTGCCGACGGGGGTAGAAATGTTGATAAGCTAACACAGAAGCAGATGTTGTATCAAACCCATAATCCGTTGTCCCCTGCCAAAAATGAGCAAATGAGCAAAAAAAAAATTTAGGCAACAGGAGAGAAAAAAGATTTTCAAAATTCCAATTTGTTTCAATGAAAAATGGAACCATATTTTTCGAAGATGTATCAAAAAATTAGCACCACTCAAAAATATTGACAACCGCAAAACCAGCTGTGGACCTTATGCAGCAATATTACCAACGATAAAGAATGCAGAAAAGTATAAGGTTAATTTTTAAGCTTGTGAATCATAATTCATTAACTTTGAAACAGGAAATACATTATTTGTATACGTTTTTTTATTATACCTATTATTTAAATGTTGATAAAAAAATACAACACATATATATGTAATCATCTATTTTTCAAACATAAACAGGTGCATTAATTTTATTACAATAATAACGTTTTGCTTGGAAAGAGGTACCTCTTCAGAGTAGAATATTTTTAACGTAATTGGACTGATAGCTGAAGGCACTTGAGCGTGGGAACTTTTTCGATGCCGTGGGAAAATCTCTAGATCTGCGGCGCCTTTGATCTGAAATTTTGGGAATTTTTTGACCTGGGTCAACCCCAAAATTTGTGAATCTGGTGGACCATTTACGTAGTAGAGAAGTGCCTCTTCAGGATAGGAGTTTCACGGAAGGGGGTTTACAGTGGAGGTGGGTAGTGGTATGATGGCTGTGCTGGGGGGGGGGGGGGGTTACGTGGTAGAAATGGGTATTAGTCTGATAGATGTGAAAACACTCTACTTGCCTGGTAAAAGCCAAGGTCAGGAACCGGTCCAACAACCGGTTCTAAGACGAATGGCTGGAACAGAAAGGCCTCAGTCAAGGATCTTTATACAAGATCCTTCAAACTGCAAAGAGGCAAAAAGCCTCCTAAAACTAAACAGGAGCCAATTAAGAGCCATCACAGGCAGGACACTGGGTGGTCCAATACCACCTACACAAAATCGGACTCAGCAATGAGACGGAATGTAGGTTCTGCAGCGAAGTAGATGAAACTACCAAGCATATAGTTTGTGAATGTGACGCCCTCGTCATTCGCAGATGACGATACCTCGGGTACAGTTTTCTGGAACCTGATGAAATAAAGCATGTCCGGTCTGAGCGGGTCTGCACCTTTCTTAACAATTGCAGGCTTCTAAGGTGAGGGCTGCACCAAGAGGGGGATAGCACAATGGACCACATGCGCGTCTACGTGTTGCCTATAAAGCCTCCCCTTTTAAATCACTCAAATCAATCAATCTCCCATTTAAGGAGACTCCTTTCATCAGGTGTTTGTTATAGCAAATAAAATAATGCAGTAAGTCCTTCAAATCCTAATGAAACATAGGAAAAGGTGACACAAATAAAATTTACATTGAGGATTTTTCAGTGTTGTGCTATTCGCTTCTGAAAGCGGTTCAAATTTAAAAAAAAATGTAATTTAAACTCGCTTTAGTAGGAAAATAAAATAGCGATGAGACAGTCGACCGCAATATAAAATACAAAAGGAAAAAAATATCCGTTTTCTGTTAATTTATGGTTAGATTTATAAAGTGCAAGGGTAGAAACTAGTATCCGCTTGAAACGCTCCATTACTTTATTTAAATTAAAATGTTTGGTTATTCCGAATAAATATCTATGTCAAAAGTCACCCAAAACCGCTTTACCTAAAATATACACGCCCCGTTTCTGTGGGAAGTCTCCTCAAAAACTTGTCAAAGGTCTCCCCGAGGTCAGTAAATGGGACCCGACATGCGGTTTTGGGGATGAAAAGTTGAATTTGTTTTCTCGTTTATAGGAACATTTTTAGAGGCCATTGGATAAAAAAAATATATATATTTTAGAGCGATCTACTAGAATATTCAGAGAGAGACTGATATAATAAACCAAATGAATTATCGATTATATCCCTAATGCAAGATTTGTTGCAAAGTAACGCCCAACGCGAAGCTCTATATTCCCTAATAAAATTAGATTTATGCTATATTTTGCAAAACCGTGAGCTTGTGGTTTTGATTGCCCTGTTTGCAATAGCTTTGGTATTTATTTTCTCGTAAAATTACGATAAAATTAGTTTTTTTTGCTCCAAGCTACTGCGTAGCTACTCTTAATTAGTTTTGAGCAAATGTTACTGTTTGTGGCATCTGCTTAATCGTTATTAGAATAAAAATCGATTGCAAACGGAAATGAAATCCCGCTTTCAGGAGGATAAGACATGGGCAAAGAAAACTCTTCACTCAATACGAAGTAGGCCTCTTCAGCCCAAATTGAGGCCGAATAACAACACCAGCTTGACGGATGACTGAGGGGAATAAAAACGGGTTAACAAAGGACTTGTTTGGGGTATTATTAGGGTAGAGCCTCTTTTTTTGAGGGTTTTATGAGGCTTTTATAATCAAATTTTGCGGGACCTACGGTATGGTGCGTTTTATTTTTATGCGCGGATTCTAAGCTTTAGGGGCCATTTCGAAAGGTTTTTTTCCCTTGGGGAATTTCTTTATTTTTATAGCCTCAAAAGGGAGTTTTACATGACAGTAAACTTGTACGTTACAAATTTGAAACCCCTACGCAATAATGATTTATTTAATTATTCTATGATTCACTTCAAAAAGATATATGTAAATTTTATTGGATTCATCATTTATAAAAGAAAATTTCCCACAACCAGTTGCGCCGGCCGCTTTTTAACAGAACGAGAAATTATTGAAGCGAATTTGAATGGGAAAAGGGAAATAAAATCAATCGTGTCCTCGAAAAAGAACCTGACAAATCCCCGCAAATTTCGGAGGCATCCCGTTTTAATGAAATGGATAATATGGCGCGATTGATATTTCGGCTCCCTTTCAAAACCTTTTTTCGATTCTTTGGAGAGCACTGAAATATGTTTTTTTGATAACCTTATTCAACACGAAACATGGTAGGATTTATAAGCCAAATTGAACAATAATGCTTATTAACAACCGAAATAGAATTTACTGTTTCTATATTATATTTGCTTATACGCTCAATAAAATTTCATAATAGAAGTTAATTTCATATGTAGGTACCTATATGCGGTGGTCGTTGCCTAGTTTTCCGAATGTAATGCAATAATTGCCATTGAAAATTTAATTAGTTCTATATAGTTTACCAACAACCGGAAAATAAATGGACATAAACTCAATCAATAAAAAAGGAATGTGGACATTGTTGGGGTAATAATATTATTAAATATATTAGGTAT